GCTTTTATTTATATTTAAAGCGTTGCCTTTTAACACGGACCTTCTGGGAGCCCTTTACTGCGGCGGAGGCGAAGCTGCGAGCTCATATCCTTGTAAATAAGCGCCGGTAATTAGCGATCTTCTCCGCCACGGACGCTGGAGATGAGAATTCTGATTTACAGCCGATAATAAGTCCCAACGATTGTGCTTCGTGTAACATCGTAACAATCCGGGAATAGCTGAGGCTGACCCACCGCGGCCATGTGAGCTCCCCCTAGGAAATAAGCACAAGAGGGGCGCCTTTCCTGGTGCAGATCACTTTTATTTCAATAAACATAAATAAAAAAACGAATCATACTCACAAACATGCGTGTCACAAAGTCATGAGTTGAGGACTGACAAGCAGTGGGATGTCCACTAGGTGATACCAGTATAGTGGTGACGTTAACGCGTTTCCGGGGCATGTTTGTGAGTAAGTTCTGATGAAGGGGGCGTGCCCCGGAAACGCGTTAACGTCACCACTATACTGGTATCACCTAGTGGACATCCCACTGCTTGTCAGTCCTCACCTCATGACTTTGTGACACGCATGTTTGGGAGTATGATTCGTTTTTTTATTTATGTTTATTGAAATAAAAGTGATCTGCACCAGGAAAGGCGCCCCTCTTGTGCTTATTTCCTAGATTTCCAGCTTTCCCGGCTTCTTTGGGGCAGCATCCTGCAGTATGCCTATAAGCAAGTCCTATTAAGAACTGACAGTCCGTGGCGCTTCACTGTTTTTAATGTGAGCTCCCCCTGCCTGACGGGGCCCGTCCACCTCGGATCTTCTTCTAGTATCGAAAAGCTCAGAGTGTCCCCCATTGACGGGGAGAAGCTCTGTGCCGGACATCCAGTTTTGAAGTCTAATCTGCTTTTATTTCCCTTCCCTGGTCCCTCCCCCCTCATCAACAAGATAATAAAACGCTTAAATAAAATCCATTATCATTACATTCCTTATCTTAGTCCTGTTGATGTCCTCACTGGGTCTCTGTGCAATGCAGGCAGATCATGGCTGGTGGGAGGGGCCGGCAGTGGTGCCATACATAGCTTCCTGAAAACATCACAGCACCCTTCCTCAGTATTCCTCTTGAGCCCTCGGCCCTGATGCAAGCAGTGGGCTGGTTCTTGGGAGGAAGACTGACGGGAAGGACGAAGTTTCAGCTTTAGCACTAAATATTCTGATCCCTGTATATTCCCCCAGCCAGGACCGGATTTATCTCTCTGCTGCCCCAAGGCCTCTGAGCTGTATACAAGTGATCTCGGCGGCTTCCCCGCTGTACATTTAGCTCTGCTTGCCCATAGCAGGGCTAAATGTAGAAAACAACTCCCCGCCCGGCGCCCGGAACTGCATGTCCCAGGCATCGGGAGATAGGAATTCCCCACCCCTGCTGCCCCTCTACCCCTTGCTGCCCCTCTACTCCCTGCTGCCCCTCTACCCCCTGCTGCCCCTCTA